AAATGTTGAGTATTTCTACCTCTTGGTCATCTCTTAATCCAGTTCCATTTTCTCACCTATCTCCTAGTTGTCACTGGAAAGATATTGGTGCAAAAGCGTTTACAGAGCCCATCTGGGAAGCATGCGTAGTTCATGCTTTCCTTCATGACTCATGCATTAAGGGCGTAAAAGCCTGAAGGGTCATGGGTTTTGTCAGCAAGTTACACAAAGTGAAAGAATGATGAGTGTGTGGGGGGAAAATTATCGGTACAATTTATCGTTTATGGCAAAGCGTGGCCGGTCCCTAATAATGTCAAGTTCCAGGCCTGTCTCCAGGAAAGGGGATATCTGGTCAGGGAGGGAAGAGGTGTTGGTAACAGGGTCATCAGTGGTTTGTAGGTAAGAAAGTCAGAAGTTACCCCGGGTGTTTGGGTAGGGTCTTTGGGAGCAGAGACTGGGGTGTTGGCCATTGAGGTCCCCCACAAGTAGGGTGGGGATGGAGGTGATATGTTGTGGTAGGACAGGTGCAGTAGAGGTAGAGGAAGGCACATAGGCATTGACAATACAGTATTGAGGGACATACCTGTAAGTGTGATTGTAATGGCGTGTACGTCTGTAGTGTCGGCTTCAATGAGGACATCGAGAGGTTGGTAGGGAACATCCTTCTTGGGGTAGATACGTAGTCTACGTGCATGGCCTCATGGTTGTCCATTGATGCGGAGAACTGGAGTGGATGGGCCACAGGTGCGATGGGTGAACAGAATGAGGCACTGCGTGTCATGGTGATGGGGCAGGACGTGGCATGGGGGCAGCAGGGCACACCTTGGCAGGCTCGGTAGATGCCACGCCAGCAGTGATGCCAGACGGTGGTGGAGTAGGCCATGAGCATTAGGGGCACACAGAGGGGCTACCAGCTTGTGTCAAACCAGAAGAGTTAAGTGACTGGGTAGCAGCTGAAGGCAGGGGTATTCGGTGTAGGTCGGAGATGGAGGTACAGAGTGTATCAAAGAGTTTTTCAACACGGTTGGTAAATTCGTGGAAGAGGGATATGATCTGTGTCGTGTCACCGGAGGGGGGTTGTGGGGGAGCACCGGTGGGGGCACAAGGCCTGACAGCATCAGAGTAGAGACGGAAAGGAGGCCCAGTTGTAGTTGAGTTAGGAGATGGCCGGGACTGCTGTGTTGCAGCCAGGTGAGGCCAGGCAGGGGCAGGTGATGTTGAAGAAGGCGTTGCTGGAGACAGAGGGGACGCAGAGGGATGTGGCTCGGTAGGCTGGGGAAGAGGTTGAGTTTGACGCAGCCTTCGGAGATGCTTTTCTCCTGGGATAGACGGACGTTTGGGGCATTGTCGTGAGTCAACATTGTGCCAGCCACCACAATTACAACATCTGGGGTCAACAACATAGCCCACAACACCTCCATTGAAGTGGTCTTTGATTTTTATGGCACAGACGGAGGAGTGATGGTTACCTGAACAGAAGCGACATCTGGGACGATCATGTCAGCAGCAGGCGGTGAAGGTGTGACCCCAATGGGAGCAGATGACACAAAAAACAGGCCCGGGGTGATATGGTTCAGCGTACAGTGGGGGGAGGACTGGGTGGGTATCAGCAGTGGTTGGGCACTCCCTCCCCTTCCATTTAACTATGACAGCTGCTTGTGGGGTCTTTCCTCGGTAGTGTCAACGTATACTGAGTATACGTGGATTAAAGTTACGAGCATCTTCGACTTCAGCGTATAGGGGGAACTGTTTAACTAGGATGTGGCAACATTCCGCTGCATCAGCAGGTGGAGGCATGAGGACAACCCCGTCAAATCCAACAGTACTGAGTGTTTCATAGACCTCGGGTGTCTGACACTTGATAAAGTTACGGTTCTTACCTTTTCGGAATTGACTGGTGAGACCGTGTTGTCTCCAATACTTTGTTGTCCAATTAAACCGTTCCTGAGTCCTTCGGAAGTGCAGATTCAGCTTACATGGTTGGTTGGCAAAGGAGGTGACGAGGGGAAGCTCGCTGCCCTTGGCATTGGTGTTACCACTCCAGCAAGTGTTTCCCATAGAAACATTACCGTTACTGTCACTATCACTGAGGTCTGACTCTTGCAGGGTGTGAGATGCACTATGACTATCTGACTATCCATATCAGAAATGTCTCTATCCATGAGAGAGGGGACGCCTCTTCTGGGGCGTTTACGTCGACCTAGACCCTCCTCCACATCGCTGGCAACACTTGCCGGCGAAGGGGTAGATAGAGACTGAGGGCTTTGTGTGACGATCGGGAGGACAGGAGCACCTATGAGCACACGTCTGTCCCGTTAATGTCCCCTTACGTGGTCAGACCGCGACTGACTAACTTTGTTCTACACATCTTACCTAAGTCTTGACCTTCGGAATGACAGAAAGGTCAAGATGATTGTGACTCAGAAAGAAAAAAGTTTTGTCTTTGTCATAATAACTTGGCAGGTAGATTTCCTATCGGGTCCTACAGATATTTAATGAATTTTGGGGTCAAATGGTCAAGGTTGTGTTATCCGACTCAAAAAATTAATGTTCTTACATGTCTTCCAGACATATTATGTGCTGTCTGTGATATTCTCGCCTATCAAAGGAAACAAATCACTCAAAAATGTTATTAAGCCTTAAACAGAGCACAACTGACGACATAATACCCTACGTCATCTTAGTTATTAGTTCAATTAATTTTCGTTCATTTCACAAGATTACTGAATAACAATATGAGTGGTTCGCTGAGGGTGACACCTGGCAGTATTCACCTTAAGAGTTCCAGCAGATATATTTATTATATGGTCAATATTTATGATGAAAATAACAATCAAAAGAAATCTGCTTTATCTTATGAATTTTAAATCAGGTTTTTGGGATGATAGAACTCATTGTGAAAATTTGGAGTTAAATAATCGAATCGCTCGTACAGTAACTCTGAACACAACATTTAGCCAATCAAATAAACAGACAGATATACTGGTAAACATAACCTTGTCAAAACATAGGAATTTAAAGGTGTATATAAACAAGAGAGCAAGGCAGACAGGAGGTGGTAGAGACTCCATGCACAAAGAAGTCTATAGGGTGTGGTCGGAAGGGGAGAAGAAAATTGGCTCATGTAAGGAAACTTTTTTGACTGGATTGTAATGAAGAAGTTATTAATAAACAGGATAATTAGAAACTACGAGGTATAGGGTGTAGTGAGGGGGAAGATAACTCACGCTGATATTTTTTAACGCAGAAGTGAGTGGCCAACAATGTAGTTATTGTCCCTTCGACTGTACAAACACGGACAAAATGGAGCTTCTGTATTCTTCGCTCTCAACCTTTTTTCTTGTGTTCGGGTTGTATATCGTCATTATATTGTGCTACAGATGGTACAGTTATCAATCTGTCATATTCAAACTAATTTTCGAAAAGATTACATAATGTTACACAATTACTCCTAATGTCAGACTTTATCAGTTATACATAGAGCATCTAATCTCAACAAACAAGTTAAGAACAGTTTCGGAAATGTATTCCTACACCCTTTGTGGTAGCCATGTCTCCAAACGACCAAACTGTATGACCTAGTCCTACAGTATTGTGAACCTATCCACCAAACACATCCGTCGTTACACGACCAATACCCATTAATTTATAAAGAGTGATACTACTACTGCAACGTTGCTGTTTGGAGTCACGGGATACCGCAGGGGGTGTAGAAACACATTTCCTCAACTGTTCATTGTTAGGAACCGTCTTTATTTGGTAACGTAAGTAACATGACTTACTATGTTTTCTGTATTTTATTGTATATATTGTTTTGTTATTTCATAACTTGATCTGTGTAGTATTATTTTATTGTTTTATGCACTTTTATGTTGGGTGATGAAGTATGATCTATATTTAGAATGATATTAATGATTGTAAGGGTACGTGATGAGAATGCTGGGCATATCAATGTTCTTTTGTCTTTGATGCTTACGCTGGGGAACGTGGAACGGCGGGACAGTCTCTCTCTACTCTCAGCTCTAACTTGGAGCAGATATTCCTGTTTTTTTCTCCTTCCACTGCCTTCTTGCTTCTATCGGAGGTGCACCAGGTGGTTTTCGGGTGATCCTATGTTTGTGGAGGTTCTGGTTGTTGCTCTATGCGGTAAGACTGGTATTTGCCAGGTTAATATAAAATTTTGTAAGAGTGTTTGTGTTAGTGTGATTTCATTTTTTCTTCTTTTTTGTAATGGTATTTACCCGGTTCATACATGTATATGCCTGAATATTTTTGGATAGGAGTGTTTATATTACTTAGTGTTATTTCAGGCATGTAACTATGGAAGATAAGGAATAATCATGTTTATTTTTAGTTAAGCTTTGTTTCATTAACACTGAACCATCTTTCACTAAGTGACCTATGTCTCAACATATATATGGTCATTTGGTGCAGAGTTCCCATGGGAGCATTTTGCATTTCTGTTAGGTCACAGTCCACGTACTGGAACTTTGTTGTTTTGGGTGAAAATTATAAGTATTAAGTGACCTTCCAGTGATTTGAAGGCCTTAAGTATATAAGAGGGAAGTGATCGTAACAACATATACAGTATAATATCTAACGTTCATATTGAAGCTGAGTTTTCTGTATGTGGAGCTTATCTTTTAGTTTCAGATTCAAGTCTGTGACTAGAATTTGAAATAGTTTTGTTCATAACGCTGAACGACAATGAAGAATTAAAAAACAAAATCATAAACACGTGACTCCCCATAATAAAGACAGGATACCGTTCTTCGTATTGTTACTACCTATGTCATTTATAAAATGACTGACTACAACTGTTCTCCCCGCAGTTTATTGTCTACCATCCACGTTGTGTCAGTCAGTGAAAGGCTGTTCATTACAACAGGATATTACATGATAGAGTTTGCATGACAGTATCTTACTCAGGCAAATGTTCAAGTAATAATTGTTTCACTCTAAGTTGCCTTCATACAGTAAGCAAGACTTGGAGGCATTGTGCGGGTGAGCAATAGACTTACCGTAGACGTGGAGCTTGACGATGGAGGTGAGGGAAGGAGAGCTGAGGAAGTCAACCCGGCAGGTAAAGTCACCTCCATCCTGCAGGGTGACGCGCTCCAGGTTGAGGTGTACCCGCTGGGGCTGCGTCAGGTTGAGGAAGACCCGCCCTTCATAGCGAACGTCGCGGGTCTTAGGGCTTCCTTCTCGCCAGAAGTCTCCACTGCGGGCGTCGTAACTGCCGGAGAAAGAAACCAGAATTATTATGGAAAGTGGAATTTGTCTTTCTTGGTTTTCATCTTCTGTGTGGAATAATTATTGAAAAACACATAAGTATTACCACTGATAGCAAGTGCTAAATGAAAGTTAGTTTTGTCCATGTAATAAAATGGTATCTCTATTTTTTAATGCAAGAATTAATTTTACAAGACACTACATCACAGTTTAACACATTGTCTGATTTCCCTAAATAATGTCATTAGCCGTTACTACTAATTACTAGAGACATATGTACAGACAACCAAAGATCCAGCGACCTAACCTGGGTCTCGTAATCGCAATTTTACGTGGCGATATTTGTTAAAGTAAGGCTGTATGTAATGGTGATTGTGATGTGTGGATCTATTTCAGGCTGCATCACTGTCAGGATAAATATTAAACAAACTAAAGGAAGCATTTTTAAATAATAAACTATTCATTATTATTTCAGATCATGAGAAGTTTCTAAATTTTAGCATATTTAGTATATTTGTTTAAACATTATTTAAGCAAATATGCGAACATTTGGAAACTTCTCATGATCTAAAATAATAATGAATAGCTTATTATTATAAAAATGCTTCCAAACTATCCTCCATATTTAGATTGTTGTAATTACTCAACGAACTGATCAATTTTATAAAGCCCCCTCCCTTTTTTTTTGCTAAGTCCATTTTGCTTACTTCGTTCAAATCTCTTCCTGATAATTCTAATTCTGTCTGTCGACAGCCAAAATTAAATAAGTAAACAACCATAAATACGTAATTCTTGACGTGCTTCTTATAGAACTTGCAATTTAAACGTGTTTCTTAATTATAAGGAAGTCCTGGGGGTTACGATTGGGTTGCATTCTAAACTTTCCTTCGTACATCGTTCGTTCGGGGCTCAGATTTGTTTTATAACACAATAAACACAATGTTATAAATGGTGGTTGGGGCCAACACAACAACCACACCTAAAGTTAACGTGTTGTATGATCCAGTGTCAAGGAATAATCCAAGGAGACAGGGCATCTCGCCAACCGCATTACCCCGAAACATGATCCGAAAATCTATTAACATCCAGATTCCCAATTATTGCATATTAAGACAAATGGTGAAACTTGCCCTTAGTTTCACCACATAGCAAGTACACTATGTTATACAGTATCACTCAATTTAGTCCCCCGTTTTTAAGAGGGTTCTTACATTTGGGAGTGGGGATTGATCTCTATGAGGTCGATCCCCAAAATCCCAACTTTCTGACACTTATCGATGGTATGTGCATTTCCATGCCAAATTTCAGCATGGAAAACTGTCAAAACTGTCCATTTTTAGCTCACTTATATTAACAAATGAACTCTTGTCTTACCAAGAAGACAACACACGAGTAACTGGACACCGTGCTGGACGGGATGGATTACGTCAGGCCCGGCCACGTAAACTACTTCCCAAGATTGATGATCGGTTGGTCGGGAGAAATAGGAAATAGCAAGATCATATGGAGATTCGTTCGTATGTCTGGAGTTCCTAAGTAACATATAGGCCTCTATCTATGTAATTCCGTAGTCATCTTTCCGTCTTGCTCATTGGTATTCATTGAAAGAGAAAAATAAGCTCGGTGAGTTCAAAGGTTTAATCTTGATTTTCATCAAGAAACTTTTTTAAAAATTAAACTTTACAACCATCTACAGTTTTTAACATAATTTTAACATTGAATTAGCACTTAAAAGATACAGTTAAGGTCACTCCGGGTTTTTGTAATACCTATAGTTAAGTTTTTACTTCATAATTGCGAGAGAACTTTAGAGTTTAACATCTAGTGTTAGTTCCCCTTAAGTGTACAAAGTTTTATAATGATGTTTGTAACGACGGGGGAAGTACGAAGACTTTCGTCGTTATTTTGTCATTAATTTTCCCGTTTTATCACGGAAAAAACAGACCTCTCTAGAGTCTTGTATCGCTGCATCTAATTTTGGGTTAATTATGATGTTGCCGCTAATTAATGAGAACATGTGGACGTGAGAGAGAGAGAGAGAGAGAGAGAGAGAGAGAGAGAGAGAGAGAGATAGAATTCTTTAAAGAGCCCGCACACTACGCACAGAGAGCGTGGAATCTGCCTCTTGTCCACACACCAGCAACACGTCACTGCCTGGGAAACACGACACTGAGACTCGCCACTAGATCAAATGCGTGTGTACTGTATGTGTCTGTAATGAAACACTGAACGGTACATGTTATCAAATCTGACAATGCGCAGAGTAATAACAAATCGCAAAATGGAAAAAAAGGTATAAGAACAGAACGAATATAAAAGTAAAGGGAATATAAAATAAAAATAGTTACAGTGGGCACACCAAGCAAGAATTTCCTCTCACCACAAGTTTCCTGGGGAAAGTAAACACGACCACAACCAGACCAACATCTTCTAACTTCCCCAACATAGGCCAGTAGTGCACGCTGATAAAACATTTACACACGTCGGGGATTACTTTCCATTTAAGCCAACACAGCCAACTTTAATGATACGAGACCCTTCGAGGAAACATTACTCATTCATTAGTGTAATTAAGGACCCAGCATTGTATAAACGTAGAATTTCCTGAGAGGGATTTAGTTTTCAGAGGGACCCCATAAGCGGATTATATTCTTCCTCGATGGGAGTTTGTCATATGTTGAAGTCAGTAACTGAAATGGCGGTAAGTTGACAGTCTCTCCTTCTTTACGTCTCTCGTGGTCCAGTTGATAGTCTTGTAAGTTAACCTTTCTTTATACAGAATTCCATTGGTATTAGTTGTAAGTCTTGTGTTAGCTGTGCTTCTCTTTATACAAGTTTCCTGTGGTCCTTAATAAAGGCTTTGTCCCACATATTCCTCGCTTGGTTTAATAACCCAGAATGAAGAATGTAAAATTACTTTCTAAATACTCAATACTCATGGTTGTCTTCTTGTTATTGATAAAACACTCAAGTGTCATATACCCTCGTTTAAGATTATCCCATTATATCATAATTTTGATGAATGAACGTTTAGTATGAGCAGTGGGACCGAACACCTAGTAAGCTGTGATGTAAGGTCAGCATTCTCGCCTCGTATGCGAGCAGGCCATTCTTCGATCCTCGGGCAGGGTGAAACTATGGGCAAGTTTCTTTTCACCATTTGCCTTAGTATACCCAGCAGTAATTGGGAACCAGGTTGTTAATCGATATGCAGATCGTGTTCCGGGGTTATGGTTAGCAAATGCAGTTGGCGAGTTGTCCGGTCTTCTCGGACTATTCCTTGACACTGGGTCAGCAACTCTTTAACTTAGGGTGTGGTTGTTGTGTTGGTAACAGCTTCGACACCTTAAACAAATTCACGCAACCATTATTATTATAATAAACAAAAGAACATAAAAACATATGAATGGAGGAAACTGGAGCAGACCCATACTGGGCAGTCCCATTTACACCAAACCCTTATTCCTCATATATCCATCCAACCTATGTGTGAAGCTATCCAGCGTATTCGAGTTGATAATGATATTTGTTAACTTGTTCCACTCGTCCACTACTCTATTTCCAAACAAATATTTATCTTATTCTCGCCTTAATCTAAATTTGTCTAATTTAAAACCATTGTTACGAGTTCGCTCCTGCTTGAATAGTTTGAGTACCTTTGTAATGTCAGCTTTGTTCAGCCCTGACTTCCATTTATACACCTCTATCATATCGTCCCTCATCTACGTCTCTCAAGGGAGTGCAAATTAAGATGCTTTAACCTGTCTCTATACTCAAGGTTCCTAATGCCCGGGATTAGTCTTGTCATTCTCCTCTGAATTCTTTCCAAGGATTCTATATGCCATTCTGTAATACGGTGACCAGAATTGAACTGCGTAATCCAAGTGAGGTCTCAGCAGCGCGAGATATAGTTTTAAAATGACCTCGCTAGTCTTGTAACTAACACTCCTTTGTATGAACCCAAGTACTTTATTAGCTTGTTTCGAGCAAATACACATTGCTTACTTGGCTTAAGATTCCTGCTTATCATTACTCCTAAATCTTTCTTGCAGTCGGATTTCTCAATAACATCGTTGTTCATCTAGTATCTGGTTTCCCTGTTTACATCTCCTATACTGAGTACTTTACATTTGTCAACGTTGAATTTCATCTGCCATTTTTCAGACCATTCGAAAATTTTAGATCTTCCTGTAGTTTTGCCGAGTCCTCGTCAGATTTGAGAACACGTCCTATTTTAGTGTCATCAGCAAATTTACTTATGTTGCTGTCAAGCCGATATCTATGTCGTTTATGTATATAATAAATAATAATGGTCCAAGTACTGAGCCTTGGGGAACTCCACTTGTGACGCTCCAATGGGACTTAGTGCCGTTAATGCTCACTGCTGTTTCGTCCTGTAACCACGCCCTAATCCATTTAAGGATGTCACCTTTAATGCCATGGCTCCACTTTTCTAATTAGTCTTTCGTGGGGACTCTGTCGAAGTGCTTCTTTAAAGTCGAGATATACCACATCATAATTGTGCCTCGTCCAGTGAATCGAAAAAGATGAAAAGAATGTTAATAGATTAGTTAGACAAGTGATCGCGTCCCGTGCTGGAAAAGTTTGAACGTGCTTTATTAGCACGCAACCATCCGACCTACAGCGTACAGAGAATTAGGGTGCACCAAGTCCGTAGACTTGCATCGTTTTCCAGCATAAATAAAATGGTTAATTAATGTCTTCCTACAGAAACCATCGACATGGGACCAGGTTTGTTCCACTCAACGATTTTTTTGCGATTTTTCCACCAAGTTTGATGAAAAACGATTGTGCCATTTCGGCTAGCCAGAAGAGACAGACAGACACAGACACACGATCATTCTTATAGTATATTAGATGAACGCCTGCTTGTGAAGCCATCTTGGGAATCATTGAAGAACTTGTGCTTCTCCAGGTGATTTCGAATAGAGTTTGAAATAATTGTTTCCGAATTTGCCTACAATTGATGTTAGACTGATTGGT